TTGTATATTACATTATATGGTATAAATAATCTGGATAAAGTAAATGCTAACTGCTCCTTACATGTTTCCATATGTGAATTACAATATATTCTACATATTCTTATATGTTGCAGACTTTTTATTTTTCCTTTTCCCCATTGTTTTTTAAATATCCATAGTTATGCAATTGGTTTTTAACAAAAATAGTATGCAATGAACCACTGGTAAACCACTGCTAACAGTTATATATATCATCTTTTAATTGGTGATGATCCTGCTGGAGCTCCTTTAACTGTTGTGCTGCAGATCAATCAGTTTGCCTCTAAATTGGATTTTGTTTGATCTTCCTCAGTGACTAAAGAGGCAGAGTATTATAGAGATCATGACCAACATCTAGAAGTCAATGTACATAGAGAAATTCCGGTCATAAAATATCCAACAAGGAAACACATTTTTGAAGTGTTTGTATTCTGAACATTCAACACTGCTTTGAGGTAGCTAAGCAAGTCCTCTAAAATGAGCACTACTCCTAAACTTTTGCATTTTAGTTTTGTTTAGAAGATACAGACAAGGCCATGTTCCACCTATCTGTACTGCCTTGGTAACCATGACTATAGGAGATTACCCCAATGCCTAGATTTCTCTTGAGATAGCTCCTTGATAACAATTGGCCAGTAAAACCTCAACTTGAATCTACTTCTCCCATTTCTGGGGATTGTAGGCAATATTTTGAATAATATTTAATCTTGATATATCCTCAAATTTCTAAATATCATTATTATTCTCAGGCCTGAGATCATATAATTGATAAATATTTGTCTGTGTTTAAATAATTTTGCCATTTAAAGATCTCCTTAGCAGAAATAGACTTCTCCTAAAGCCTAGTCTCTAAAACCTTTTATGGATCCTTGTTAACTTCTTAAAAATACAGATTGAGATGCAGTAGGTATGAGTGTGTTCATAAATTTGTGTGTGTTGTTGGGGTGAGCCAAAAGTGACTACATTTTTAATAGACTGGGAGTTCCCCCCCCCACACCCCTTCCAATCAAAATACTGGTGATAACAAATAAAATCCATGATGCCTGTAGCATGGACAGAAGGACTCCACTGATAATATCTGGAACTGATTCTCAAAATAGTTGACCAGTAAAAGCACAGAGTTAAGCTAGATGAAGAGGCATGCCATAGTTACCAAGTTATCTCTTAGGGATGCTAGCTACAAAGGTTAGCACCTCTATTTTCCAGGATATTCATATTAACATGTAGGGTATAGAATTGACAAGCATAACAAAATTTTCTCTTATAGGCAGTAAGTACCCTAATGGTCTTTTAACCTAATGGTAGAAATGATTGCAATTGAAAGTATGAATTCAATGTAATTTTTAATAAGTTTTTAATTGTGAAAATACTGTACAGAGGGGTTACAATCACATGAGCAAGGTAAAGAGTACATTTCTTATCAAGCATTCTTGCCTCTTCCTTTGTTTTTCCCCTACCATCCCTTCCTTCCCATCTCCACAACTACACTCCCCCTCACCCACCCCACCCACCCCGCCAAATTGTAAAGTTTCTTTTTTAACATAGCATCCTGTACATCTCATTGATGCAATGGGTCCACCTGTATCCCTACTTAAACAATTTGTTTTTCCCTTCCCCTCCGCAAATTATGCCAACATCAAATATAGTGAAAACAAGGGTTATACCGTGGGGGAAGGACATACAAAGAAACAAAAAAAATCACCAGGTACATTATAAATACATTAGAAACAATAGCAAGAAAGAAAAAAAACACTTTTGTACTTTTATCTTGGGGTTCTTTTCACTTAACATCATCTTATCTGAACTTTTCTGCTTGTCTCAGATATATACTAGTTATTGCAAATAAGGGAAACCATGGGAACTATATTTCTTTGTGCCTGGCTTATTACACTTTATAATATTTTAATATAATATTTTAATTTTATTTTATATAATTATATATTATATTATATATTTTATTTTATTTTATATTTTAATATACTATTTTTCTGAGTCTTTCCATTTCCTAACAAATAGGGCAATGTCATTCTTTCTGATGGAAGCATAGAATTACAGTGTAACAGTTTTTTTTTTTTGGGGGGGGGTCCAGTCTTGAGGCCTGAACTCTGCGCCTGGGCGCTGTCCCTCAGCTCTTCAGCTCAAGGCTAGCGCTCTAACACTTGAGCCACAGCACCACTTCCGGCTTTTTTCTTTTTGCTTATGTGGTGCTGAGGAATCAAACCCAAGGCCTCATGCATGCAAGGTAAGCGCTCTACCACTGAGCCAGCTTCCCAGCCCCTACATTGTAACAGTTTCTTAAATTCACTAAATATCCTATCATTCTTCCACAATGTATTTTTCAGCAAATTAATCAAAGGATTTCTTAAAGTTTCCTCTGGAGAGTAACGGAAGAGTGAGAGGATCAAAATATAGTGTTCTTATCAATTGACATACTTAGTTGAGAACACTTTGTGTAACTACTTAAAATGATATATATGTATATATATAATTTTGATTATCTTAAATTAATATAAAATCTCCAAATGTCTCCAGTCTCTGTTTATTTGTCTCAGAGATTTCTGTCTCTACTTTGCCTGAAGGAAGGAAGAGGACATGCAGGATGTTTGTACTGATACCCCAATGGATGAATCTGGCCAATGGAAGAGGTGACTTGTGAGAAGTGATTATATTATGGGATTGGAGGTTATACCACTGCTCATTAGAGGGTTAAAGATACTCTCATGCAGTGAGGCAGTTCTCATAATAGTCACCTGCTATCCAATGAAGACAACCATATGCTTGGCCACCACAAATTACAACTGGTTCTCTCTTTATCAACACAACATATTGTACCAAATGCAAGACAGGCCTCACCAGAGTACAGACAGATGAAGATTCAGCATCGGGGACTTTCTGCATCTAAAACTGTATGCTAAACAAACTTCTTTACTCAGGGTTTAGGCCAGTTTCTTTGTTATAGGGAAGGACTGACTCACGTGTGTCATGTTTATGTGTGTGTGCGCACAGGTGTGTGTGAGAGACAGAGAAATCTGTTTAAATAGAAGTGCTCTTAATAGGTTAATTGAGGAGTAAAAAGCAGCTCTCTACCTGTGATACTCTTCTTCTTCTAAATACAACTTCTCAAACCTTATAAGATTACTTGTTAACTTGCTGAAAGGCAGATTCACACTCAGATGTGAAGTGGTTTTGTAATATTTTATTTGTAACATGCTCTCAGGGATGCTATTGATGATCCTGAATTCTGGACACTTTCTGAGTAGGAAAGAAAATACTACTACATACATGTTTAGTTGTGTTTGCTTCCTTTTTGTCAAGAAATATTTCTATTTGAGAATGGTCACTTACATATTTCATGATAATATCTCATTTTCTATGAACTGAGACTTACTGAAACTCTTACTATGGAAGAGACATGTGTGTACCTGGTCTTGGACAAGGCCCTCCTGGATATATTCTGAGAGTAGGGTTGTGACTTCACTGGGTCATCAGCTGTGGGCTCCCATCAGCGTAGTCTCTACAGGAAATATATTTCCCAGCACTCCTCTCCCTCTCTGCTTTCCTGTTTATATTCTGATTTAGATGGGATATCTTCCAATCACATATAAGTTTGGAAGGTGGAAGGGACTCAATCCTATCGATCCACAATATGCAAGGAACTTGGACAAAAGTGAGAGTGTGGACAAAAGAGAACTCCATACAAATGTTTTGTCCTAAATTCTGTTTTGTTTTTTCAGGTAAGGGGTATGTTTATTCATCGATCTGGATGGCACCAGGCCATGTTGGCTCTCCATCAGTAGTAGTACAAAATGATGTCCATAAAGATTCAAGGTTATGAAGACAATTCATCTTTACCTATCACCCTTTCATCATTCTGAACCATCCCTCCCAATCCAACTCCTCCCTTCCATATACATTTCCATGTGTAAGAATGCATGTTAATTGCTAAATGTGAACTTATCACTCTCACTATGTCTGTAGGATATGGGGAAGTCACTTCTGATTACTGTGATAAATATAGATATAATATGGGTCACTCTGGAACTGTACCCAGTACATGACTCCACAAGTGTCTTAAAAGTATTTTATTTATTCACATATATTTATTTCCATTCTTCAGTTTGCATTTATTTTAACTAGGCCAGAAGCCAAGGGTGCTTTTGTTATCTGCTCTCTGAATAACACCTCTAAGATCAAGCTCCAGAAAAAAAAAAAAAAAAAAAAACATGTTCAAACCTTCCAAAACCTGATACAAAGTATTAGTTAATTTTTTCTTTATATTTCCTGAAGTTATTTAAAAACATATTTTTCAACTCTACTTTCTATGGTTTAGACAATGGCAGTGTAAAACAATAATATGTTACTCGATATCAAAATAAATTAATTTTCTGAGAACTAGATTAAAATGTTGCATGTTTTAATATGAGAGTTGAAATGAGTATTTAAAAATACACTTCCTGAAAAAAATTCCCTGACAAGAAATAGATAAATGTTTAAATTACTAAACTCACATGTTTAATTATTTAGCTTCCCCAAACATCATATTGTACCTCAAATAAAATTATCTCATGCCAATACAAAATTAATTTCAAATAAATTTTAACTACTATTTTTCTTCAAACAATTGTTTTTAAAATGTTTTTCAGAAGTTATTTTTCCTTACCTTTAAAAACCTGTCCTGACATATCTAGAATGGCTTCGTTATTGACTGACTGCAGAATTTTAGGACAGACTGGACCATACATGAGTACAGAGCAGTGTTCTTTGTAAGTCACAGAACAGGCAGTGTCAGGTGTGTGCTGCTTGGGATGAGCAGGAGGACAGACAGTTAAGGTATGCAATTGACTCCAGAACGTATCTCCCAATGCTTTCCAGTGACCTTAAAAATGGGGGCTGCATCTGAGATGTTCTGTCAGCAGTTGAAGCACCAGGATAAGCATCTGGGGCAGCCCAGCCTCTCACTTCTGCTTTCCTGGGAGGTTTTTGTTATGACTGGTGTCACAGGGGTAGGTAAATAATTACCCTGCTGACAGTAGTAAGTGGCAAAATCTTCAGGCTGCAGGCTGCTGATGCTGAGAGTGAACTCTGTGCCAGATCCACTTCCATTGAACCTCCATGGGACCCCAGATTGCCAAGTAGGTGCAAAATAGATCAGGAGCTTTGGAGCTTTCCCTGCTCTCTGCTGCTACTAATGTAAATAATTGCTAATGACCTGACTGGCTTTGCAGGTGATGGTGACTCTCTCTCTCAGAGATGCAGACAGGGATGGTGACTGAGTCAACTGGACATCACAATGGACACCTGACATTGGAAAAATTAAAACAATTAGTCATGTAATTAATGATATTATCCAAGTACTTCCACGAAGCCTCAAGCTGCTCTGTTAATATGAGATGAGTATTCCCTGGCATTGTTCTTCCTTACGTGGGAGCCAGAGCAGCAGGAGCCCCAGCAGCTGAGCAGCGGCCTTCATTTGCAAGCTGTTTGTTGAGTGGAACCTTCTCCTGCATAGGGTGTGAGCAGCCTCTGAAGAAGTTCTCAGGGCAGTGGGCTGTGCTCAAGGCACATGAAAATCAGCAGGGTTGGAAAGATTTAAAAGATATGGCTATATACATAGCTTTGTGATCTTCATGAATTTCTGAACTAGCAGTCTCCAAATCTCTCAGGTAACATTCCTGTCTCCTATCAATAGCCCAAAAAACTCCCCTTAAAGATAAGATGTTCCCTAAACCAAGAGCTCACATCTACTTCAGTCTCTTCTGCTTCATAAACCTTCATGTTCTTATGCTATCGTCTCTTCCAGTTCAGAATAACATTTTTTTAGTAACTGGGCTAGAACTTGTGGTCCCAGCAGGTTCAGATTTGATGAAAGGAAACAAAATAAAGGGTGAGCAAGGCAATGAAACCACAATGAATGGAGAAGACATCCTTAGCATGGGAAGCAAGGAAAACCTGCCACAGACAGTGAAGGCAGAGCGCAGTGAGGAAGGCTCCCACATCAGGACCAGCATGTGGGGACACTGTCCACCCTAGTGCAGGATGTCACTCTGGGGAGCCACTAGCAGGGCATTGCCATGACAGTGAATCGACTTCTCATCATTGTGAGTCCCAGCTGCTGCAGGTACAAAAAATAACACTGCTCTTCACAGTCAGAAGCTCACACACAGTGAAAGTCCCTGCCAAAGTCAGAGTTCTCTTCATCATCCTTCACTAAATGAACTGCACGTGGATCTGGATTTGAGAGATTCACCAACTACGACCCTTGTTATGATGTATCTGTGGCCTGAAATATTACACTTCTGAAGCCAAAGGAAGCTATGTTGAAACTGTAAAACTCATGCCTTTCTATTTACCTGCATTTAATTAGAGGAACTTTGAAGGTGGACCTGTCTTTTGATACACATCCACTCCTGGTACACACAACGTCCCCCCACACCTGGGTTTCAGACCAAGACATTTTAGGAATGGCTACGATTCAGGAGGAAAGAAGAGTGGATATGAGAGTGGAGATCAACCACTTCCCAATTTGTGTAATAAGACTGTTATGCCCTGAGCCTCAGGTAGGAATCATGAACATAAAGATCTCTTGTGTAGACGATACTAAAGCTACTAGCACATGTGTTTAATATATTATTTACCATACCTAAGATACAGAACCAACCCAGATGCTCCTCAGTAGATGAATGGATCAAGAAAATGTGGTATATACACAAAATGGAATTCTATGCCTCCATCAGAAAGAATGACATTGCCCCATTTGTTAGGAAATGTTAAGACTTGGAAAAAATTATATTAAGTGAAGTAAGCCAAGCCCAAAGAAACATAGGTCCCATGGTTTCCCTTATTTGCAATATCTAGTATATGTATTAGTCAAGCAGAAAAGGTCAGATAAGTTGATGTTGGGAAATGAACCCTAAGATATGTATTCAAATGTTTTTTTTTTCTTTCATGTGATTGTTTCTAACACATTCATAAGATTATTTTTTGTTGCTTTGTATGTCCCTCCCCCTCAGTTTAACCACTGTTTTCACTGTATTTGATGTCGGTATAATTTGTGGAGGGGAAGGGGAAAAACAAGTCGTTTAAGTAAGGATACAGGTAGACCCGATGCAGCAATGAGAAGTACAAGTTGTCATGTCCAAAACGAACTTTACAACTTTGGTGGGGGAGGGGGAGGCTGGGAAAGGGATGGGAAGGGTAAACAAAGGAGGAGGCTACAATGGTTGATAAGAAATATACTCATTATCTTGCCTATGTAATTGTAACCCCTCTGTACAGTATGTTCACAATTAAAAAATAAAGATTGTGGAATACTAAAAAAAAAGAAAAAGAAAAAGAAAATCAGGTTCTACCTAGAACCCACCTTGGGTTTTTCCTGCTCCTTCAAGTTGTGCTCATTGGATGGCTGGTCTTCAACAATGCATGTCTTGAAGGACAGTGTGATCTGCTCTTTACTTTGGCTTAAGTTCTCTGGCTCTGAATGTCCTCCCTGTCTGTCTTCTAGTTCCTCAATAAAAATTAAACTGTCCTTTTCCATCTGCAACATGTGTCTCAAGCAAGCATTTTCATCTGTGCCACTCTATTCCATATCTCTGTAGATTCAATTTAAATCGCACTTCCATAAACACAATCCAACTGCTATCCTGTGAGCCTGAGGTCAAACAATGTGCCCTGGTGGCCCCGCCCTTCCATGCTTTATGGAGTGTGGCAGCTGTTAAGTTCCTTAATTCTCTGCTTCAGCATCCTCATTTGTGTAACTGTTACAGTAGTGTTGAATACTTTTCTGTATCTTTCTCTGGGATTTTACCTTCTTCCATCCATGGGCCAATTTTTCTCTTGGCTATTTTCACTCATAGGATCATATATCTCATAATCCTAAGTATTTTCTTCAATGGCAACAAACCCCTGAAGTACATCTCCAACTTCTCAACACATTTCCTCCTACATCCACTGTTAAAACATTGCCTATAAAAGAGAGATGCCCTACGTTTGCCATTTTAACTTGCTGTTAATTCACCTTTTTGTATACCTTTTCCCTAATAATTAACTCATGATATTTAGTGAAAACTTCAATACCTACCATAGAAACTCTTTCAGAGTGAGTTTTTCCCTCAAGTTATTCCTTATGATTAGTTGGATATATTTCCAGGTAAAGTTATAATCAGTAGGACAATATTTTGTAAAATAGAAGAGTTCACCTATACATTGTTTAAAAAATTTGTTAAATCTTAAGAAGATACATGAATGACATAACATATAATAACAAAACAATGTGACAATAATACTTATTAGACAATATATTGGAAATGAACTTTACAACTTGGGCTGGGGGAGTAGTTGGCAAGGTAGACATTGGAGATAGTGAGGGAGAGGGGAACACTATTCAAAAAGAAATCTATTCATTACCTTACATTTGTAATTGTAACCCCTCTACATATCAACTTTACAAAAAATGTGAAAACAATAAAATAGGGAAAATCAGAAAAATCATAGACTAATATCTAATAATACATCATATATACAAAATAACACATAATATATTTTATGTAATTTATATTTAATTATTACATACTGTATCTCATATATTAGGTATATATACATAAATATGATATATAAATTGCATGCATATGTTCACTTGTCAATCTGAGAATCAGAGGGCTTTTGACTTAAGGAAGATCTGCTTTATCTTGAGGTTTCTCCATTCTTATTTTTATAAATAAAAGACGTCAGTGTTGTTCCTCTGACTGTCAAAGATTCCTTGATTCTTGAGATTAAAACAGAGAAGATTCAGTGAACTAGGAACACTGCTGTGATTCTTGGTGGGAACTGGTCTGGAGGACAGAGGGACTAAGCTCAAAAAACATCTCACCTTCAGTGTACCTTGCAGGAGAGCACAGGATGGCTGGATACCCAGTGCCAACAGTGTTGTTTGTATTCAGTGTTTCTCTTGATAATTTCAGCTTGATTGCTAAGTCGAACTAGCATTTAGAAAATAGAAATAAACTAAATTTATCCTCCTTTCACCTCCCCTTTCTCTCCTTCCATTCATCTCCATCTCCTACTTTGCTTCTCTCTCTCTCTCTCTCTCTCTCCCTCTCTCTCTCTCTCTTTCTCTCTCTCTCTCATTTCTTATTTTTCTCAGGCAATGTATGTTGATCAAGTCGAATATGTTCCACAAGTAGAAATCTCTTTTAAAATTAGATAACTGATCTCTGCATTTCATCATTCTGATTGAGTTAAAGAGAAAAACTATAACTGTCTACATTTATGTGAAACAATATTTCTAATAGCATCAACAGCTATCCATTACATATCAGCACGTCAGGAATAATGAAAAATACCTGTTTTAATAAATAGGCAAACTCTGCAACAAACTTTGTACTCATTGATATAGTTATTTAGCAATTTACCACTCAAGCTGCATTAAACTATGAAAAGTTCACTATTACCTTCTATACCTAAAATTGTACTGAGGTTCTCCAAATGCAATAAGAAAAGCTAAAACTGATTGGATAAGAAGCACAAAAGACCTGAAGCAGAAAAAGGAAGTGGCAAACTGTCTTTACTTGCTAATGAAATTCGTGCATGAAGTATTGAAAAATCTCAAAATAAAAGTTTTGAAATAACTTTGAAGTGTCTTTGTGCACATTGTGAATATCTATTCAAGAATAAAATAACCTGGATAAAGTCAGAGTATTTCCATGTTTATAGTCTGGAATGTAATATTAATATTTCAACACCTAGCACAGTGCCAGTATCGCACATCTATAATTACACTTACTCTAAAGATTGAGGTATAGAAGCTCGCTGGTCCAGGTTAGCCTGGGCAGGATTCCTGTCCTATGATTCAAGGACAGCTCTGGCAAGAGGAAGCTTGAAGAAAGCAGCTGGGGCAGCCCAGGCTCACACTTCTGCTTCCTGGAGGTTTATGTTATGGCTTGTATCACTGTGGGTGGGTAATTATAATACTGTTGACAGTAATAAGTGGCAATGTCTTCAGGCTGCAGGCTACTGATGGTGAGAGTGTACTCTGTCCCAGATCCACTGCCACTAAATCTGGAGGGGATCCCAGATTGTAAATACTTTGCACCAGAGATCAGGAGCTTTGGAGCTCCCCCTGGTTTCTGCTGGTACCAGTTTAAGGCATTGCTAATGCCCTGACTGGCCCGGCAAGTGATGGAAACTCTGTCTCCAGGAGATGCAGTCAAAGTGGATGGAGACTGAGTCATCTGGATGTCACATCTGGTATCTGCCATTGGAAAAGTAATAAGTATACATAGAATCAAGCATGTTATAAGAAAGCTTCAAAAACAGCCAAGCATCACTGACTACAGCAGACTGAGGAGATCCTCAACGTAGTCTTTCCTTACCTGTAATCCAGAGTAGCAGGAGCCCCAGGAACTGAGCAGGGGCCTTCATGTCCATGCTGTATGCTGACTAGGACTGACTCCTGCACAGGATGTGATCAGCTTTCAAGAACTGCTCAGGGTAGTGGGCTGTGCTCTGAGCACATGCAAATCAGTAGGGGTTGGAAGGGGCCAGCACAGCTACACCAACATGCCATATTTCAGTATCTCAGCCCAGACATTATGCCCCAGATACAAAAAACAATACCAGGATAGCACTGTTGTGCATGAAGAGAATATGTTTCTCTCTGGGATTCAGGGGACAGAATGCCTCTCTGGTTAAATACAATGAACTTTAATTTATACATGGGTCATGGCATGCTTTTCATGATATCATTTTATCTAAGTCAATTTTTCAAGCAAATATTGTTCCAAAATGTAGAATTAATGACTTAGATCAGATTTTCTAAGTCTTTGGTTTCCTTGAACCCATTTGTTAATCATAGACACAATTTTTCAATTACTCAACCTACAGGGGTATGTAGTTTGATAGAGAGAATGATAGTTAAATAATTAGATGATAGACAAGTATCAGTTAAGACTTAATGAAAGATAATGAAAAGTCTGAAATTAAACTATGTGCAGTATTAGGCTATGGTGTACAATATATAGGCTAGCCTTTGGGTTTTGCTATCAACTACAGGTCTCTGTTTCTGAATATACTTTCCCACCACCATCATCCACTAGACTTAACATCAGACATTGGCTCTCTGTATACTAAAAGGATCTGGCTACAGGCACAGCTTTATTATCTTTGTACATTTCTGAGCTGCAAGTCTCCTAAAATGTTGATGACATTCATGCATTATTGTTCGTAATCCAAGTTATTCCTCCTCACAACATGAGCTATTCTCTAAACCAAGGCTGAACTAAACTTCAATTTACTCTGCCTCTTAAAAATGTAAATTCCCACAGTACCTCCCATTTAATGGAATTTGTAATTAATGAAGTTTTCAGTGATTGAACTTAGAGTTTATGACATAAACAAGCTCTGAAAGGATGACATGTAGCATAGTGAAGTGTGAAGTGGGACACCGGAGCTGCAAAGCCCAGAGAAGACAAGGGAAAATGCCACAGGTGATAAATCCAGAGTACGATGAGGAAGGCTCCCACCTGGAGTCCAGCATGTGAGGAAGCTGTTCACCCTAGTGCTGGATGTCACAACTGGAAAGTCACGGACAGGACAAGACAATGAATCCACCATCTTATTGTGAGTCCAAGCAGTTGCTCCAGGTGGACAAAGATAGCAATGCTCTCCCAAAGGCCAGTAGCTCACAGACCAGGCATTGCCAAAGTCAGAGTCCATCTGTACCAGGCCCTACATGACAGGTTCCTATAGCAACCTTGCTAACTGAAGTATTTCATACACTATTGGAACAAAGCAGAGTATAGAAATAAATTCTTGTTTTCCTCTTCCCCCTCCACATAATGAGTAGAGCTTTGATGCTGGACCTGGCTTATGGTAAACATGCACTCCTGGTGCAGACAAGGTCTCCTGATTATCATTCCTCTGATGTGGGTTTGAGAGAAGAACAATTAGAGGAATAGCTCTCAGTTGCAGGTAGAAGAAAAGTGGATATGAGAATGGAGTAAGAATCACCCTACTAACAAGACAGTCAGTCCTGGGCTAGGAATGTGGCTTAGTGGTAGAGTGCTTGCCTAGTATGCATGAAGCCCTCAGTTCAATTCCTCAGTACCACATACACAGAAAAAGCCAGAAGTGGTGCTGTGACTCAAGTGGTAGAGTACTAACCTTGAGCACAGAGAGGCTCAGGGATAGCAACCAGGCCCTGAGTTCAAGTACAGGACTGGCAAAAAAGACAGTCAGTCCCAGAGACCTAAGGTGGAGTAAGCCAGACCCAAGGAAATACAAGTCCCATGGTTTCCCTCATTTACAATAACTAGTGTATGTATAGGACAATTTTATCAGATGAGCAGAAAAAGCTCAAAAGCTATGTACATATGACCATATAACATGATGCTAAGTGAAATGAACCCCAAGATATGGGCACAAGAGGTCTTTCTTTATTGTTGTTATTTTTAATGTACTATGTGATTATTTTGTTTCCTTTGTCTGTTCTTCCCCCTATGTTGTTACTGTACTTGATTTTGATGCCCTGCATCTTGTATATACATTTGTCTAATTTGGGGAAGGAAAGAGGATTAACAAAATTGTGAAACAAAGACATAGGATGACACATTGAAACATATCCACAAGAGAGTATATTGGAAATGAACTTTATAACTTCAGGGAAGGCGGCGGGGGGGGGGGGGGGGGGGGGGAGGGGAAGGGGAGGGGGAAGGGAGGAGGGTGGTGGGGGAGGAAAGGGATGGAAGGAGAACAACTAGGGAAAGGGTGTCAATGCTCCACAGGAAATGTACTCACTGCTTTCCTCATGTAAATGTCACCCCTCAGTACAGCATTTTTACAATAAAATAGAATTTACCAAAAACAATAGAATTGGATCTAATAAACTAATCAGAGTGATCATGGCTGAAAAAATGGACACAGGAAAAACCGCATTTCTTACAGTCAGTGAGCTCATAACATTACCAGCAGAGATGTTTACACCTAAATATGTGAATATAAAACTGCACGGAATTATTTTAAAATCTAATTAGTAAACCTATATTATTTCTTCATGATAATTGGGCACTTAATCTCATATTTCTTTTCATTTCTCTGTGTACAATGGGACAGAATGACTAATTTTCTTTTTTTTTTTCTTTTTTTGGGGGGTCCGTTCATGGGGCCTGAACTCTGGGCCTGGGTGCTGTCCCTCAGCTCTTCAGCTCAAGGCTAATGCTCTACCACGTGAGCCACAGCGACACTTCCGGCTTTTTACTTCATGTGGTGCTGAGGAATCGATCCCAGGACCTCAGGCATGCAAGGCAAGCGCTCTGCCACTGAGCCACCTTCCCAGCCCAGAATGACAAATTTTCTGATGAACAACATGTGATCCTGTCAAGGTTTATAGCTCTTAGTGAGAACCTTACTTCATCTCATCCCAGGCTGTATGTAGAGCACCCACAACAAGGAGTCCATAGTTGAAATGTAGATTTCCCAGATTAAAACACAAGAGTAGATCCACTGTTCATTTGTCTCAATGCAATGGCTGAAATTTCACTGGACCTTCATCAAAACCTGATGAAGAACAGGATGCTCTGTCAGAGCTGCACAGACACATTATTTCCCCTTCCAGCAATCAAATATATGACAAAACAATTCCTATCTGCTACTCTGAACACTAAAATTGTGAAATTTTGTTATGGTTGTCCCAACCATTTACACTGTAATTATCCAATATGGAAATTTGGATTGAGGCAAAATGAAGAAGCAGTAGAAATTATGTCATGAGCTCATAGAATCAAAATATAATCATGAAAACATTTGTCAGATATCAGTATCTCATGAATATATTCCTAACCATACAGGAGTATGGAGATCTCAAGGATCATGATCAAATCCCAACTAACATTCAAGAAGGTGGACTGGAGGTGTGGCTCATGTTATAGAGGACCAGACAAGCAAGGAATCTGAACAAGCATGAGGATAAAAAGATAAATAATGCAAGCTAGGAAGGGATAGTGGGAGAACAATAAGAGAAAGGGTTACAATGCTTGACAAGAAATGTACTCATTCATTTAGAAATGTAACTGTAACCCCGCTGTACAGAATCTTTACAATAAAATTAAATTAAAAAAATAAAAAATAGAAAGTATCATTTTCACAATGTAGCCTCTGACGTGCTTCAAATTCCTAATCCTGTTGTTTTTTGTGGAAGTAGGTGTCCCCAAGTGCCTACGATCTGGCCACCATTTAGGAAAAGACTGAGGCAGGTGCACTGCCTTGAAATGTCCATTGTGTTGCCAGGTGCTATTGTTTGGGGCCATGACACTGTCTGGCTGCTGCACCTCCTGTGCCTTAGAAAACTACTTGTTGAAGGAATTTTTTGCCATCCCCTGGAGGCAGATGTTGGCGAGTCGAGGAGCATGGTTGGACCACAGGTTCTGCACACTGTCCTGTAGACTCTGTCATCACACACAGCCCATCCCTTACTGTTTGAGGACAGATTAATTCACACAGAAACAGTTTCCTTCCAAGGCTTAAATGGATGTTCTTTCTGATGAAATGGGGAGTGTTTCCTTAATATAAAAGTGATGTCTAGTCACAAAGCACAAAACATTACTCCAAGCTCAGGGTAGAAGGAGTAGATCCTTGAATCTCAGGGCATGTAGAATTTAACCTGCCTGTTTTTTTCTAACTAGCTTCTGAGTTTGAAATCTCTTACCCCCTAAGTAGACATTTCTTAACAGTCTTCTCTGCATCTGAATCCAGTTTAAAGGTAGAATTTTGCTTTGTAGCTCTCTCCTGTGCTCTATCAATAGCCGGCAAGAAGGGCTATGCATCCTATTCAGTGGTTGAAGACCTGTCTCTACTTTCAAGGAAAGAAGCAGCTAAACACCACATCTTGGAGTTCCAGTAAGGTGGCAGCAAAAGGTGAATATGAGCTTAAAATAATCCAATTGTCAAT